AGCTTCTTGTTGTTTCCTCGTTCAACATCGGTTGCTGGTAGATATCCAGGGAGCACCTTTCTGTCGTTTGCTGCTTCCTTTATGATGTTGTATGCCGACGCTTGTACAATACCAGCCTTTGCAGCAGCTGTACGAACCGGATCACCTCGGTCGATATGGAGATTGACGAGTTGACCGACTTGGCGTGCAGAATATTTATAACGCGTCCATGTATAGTTGACTGGCTCTGAAGTCATGATGATATCGTCGTCAAATGTTGGTGCTTCATCGATGTCCATGTTACCAGCTTCGCCTGCGTCACCATCCTCAGGGACAACAGTCATCCTGTACACGGTACGAACACATAAATCTGCCTCGGTTTCTGGGCCGTCGCGCACGTAGTAATCACCATCTGGTTGATAGTGATACATAGTGATAGTAGACTGTGAATCAGTAGCGACGGTGGCAGGTTGTTCTTGTTGCATGTTGTGATCCTTAATATTAACGATAACGAGTTGTTTAGAAAAATAGATAGAAGTGAAGAGTTGTGTATGTTCAAATGAGAAAAAGAGAGACTATATATATCAACTATAAAAAGTGCAAGCCACTTTGGCCAAGAACATAGCGTTGGCCATGTAAATAAGCCAGTAATGTGTATATGGTATGCACCTACCAGTCACTTGCAGCAAAATTGAACTTCTATGTAGTAGTTCATCTGCAGTAATAGGATCACGTTCGTATCATTTCATGGTCACTATCTTAATTTGTTGCCACTAGGAACAATGAGAATAATTGGATGAATATATTTTGTTACAGTGCTATTAGAACACATACACACTCAATCTAAAAATACAACAGCGTATTTTATAGAGGGAAAATCATAAATAGTATATGGGTATTGATCACAATTATATACATGGGTGGCACAAGCAGCGTTGTGCTGCAAGTGCTACATGCGCACAGACATGGTCGTTAAATATGAGTCTAAAAATTTCTGGAAGACTTTTACAACTATGGATAATAGAGATATGTACATCATAATAAATAAGATTAAGATGGAAGCCATAAAATATAAACAGATCATCAATCAAAGGGGGTGCTCAGATGGTATGAAAAAGGGGGTGATAGATTTGCTACATACACTGTCTATGCCATACTGTTTTTGTTACCTTACGATTTTCATGATTTGATACTAGGGGTCGCAATTGGATGGGTCGGGTCGGGTCAAGGGTCTGACCCGTTGACCCACAGGTCAAGAAAACACTGACCCGACCCGACCCGTTTAACCTGACGGGTCAAAACTCGATTGACGGGTCACTACTGATTTTGATTTGGTGACAAAGGAGGTGTCAATCAACCTAAGCTTGAGCACTGGAAGTGCAAAACTACATGTATACAGAGCTCTCTAAGATGATGGCACGCAAATTCCTAGCACTGCTAGCAATATCTACGTTTTGTGTGATTATTCTTAAAGGTAAAGGGTTTGTGCTATAACAAAAGAAATCGTTTGCGCTCACATGCATTAAAGAAAGCATAATGGTTAAAGTGTGGTTAAAAATCGACTTCCTTTAAATGCCCCTAATCCTTTTCCCTTTTCCCTTTTCTTTTTATTTCTTCCTTCTTCTTTCATTTCTCTTTTCTTAATTCCTTCTACGTCTTTTGTCAAATCTCGTCTCTCACTGCCACTCTCTATTGTCTATTCTCATTGTACTATTGCTACTTCTTTACTACTATTACATATATTGCTTATAGCTTACTTATCTTACACTTTTGAATATAAAATATAATCCCACAATGAAAAAGAATATAAGTACGTTTTATGTTACAGTTCTATAGCAGACATATTGACAACTACATCTTTAATATAATGATCCTTTCGAACAAGAAAATTGACTACTTGAATACAAGTACCTCATAGATATCATATGTATACACGGGTCACAACGGGTCAACGGGTTGGGTCAAGGGTTAGACGGGTTGACCCGCCGGTCAGAAAAGCATCAACCCGACCCGTTGACCCGTCCTCAACCCGCGGGTCGGTTTTGACCTATGGGTCAGATTGCGACCCCTATTTGATACACGCGTGCTATTGCATCTCGAAAACCATTTACGTACAATCGATATGCTCGTTGAGCAGATTCTATTTATTACCCTCTTGTCATCAGTATACCTTTCTTTTGGCAAATGTCAGTCACTAGTGGACTGTTCACTTCTCCTTTTTTGTATGTGTTCTTTCTGTGCCAGTTCGCTCTGTGCAACTGTAGGCTATTATGTAGTTTGCTTAGAATGCATTTGAACTATAATTTTATATGCCAGTACGTCCAATATGGCGATTTATTTCGATATATGTATCTATTTAAAAAGATTATTCTTCTCTCTCTGTTCTATTCATTTTTTTTGTTTCCCTTTTAGGTTAATTTCTCCGTGCAAAACGATAGTCCTGTTCCTGTAAAGGAGATTTGAATCGTTTGCATAATAGATTTTTTGCTAGTATACATATAATCGCGTGCTATAATATTTGCATGGAGCACCATTTATGCATTATGTTTGTCGGATCAATGATTTCGTTTTATTAATTTATTCGCTCTGTACGAATGGTTCATACATCTGTTAGTTAAGTTCATTCTTTTCCTAAAATAGACTATCTGTACAGACTATCTGTTGCATACGTTTTGATATATGTGCTCACTCGTTTAATATATTGGATCACGCATTCGTTCTGTTCATTTCGCTTTTTAATTATTTGCTAAACAGTTTATTACATTTGCTAGCTTCATTCTCTCCTTTTACTAAGCTATGTTTGCCCCCTGTGTATGTTACATTTTGTAATGCTTGCTTGCCATGATCATTAAATTCGTTAGATTCGCTCGCCACATTCATATCATTCGTTAGATTTGCTTGCCATGTTCGTTTCATTTGTTAGGTTTGCTCGCCACGTTCGTTTCATTTATTAGATTTGCTTGTCACGTTCGTTTCATTTGTTAGATTTGCTCGCCACGTTCGCTTCATTCGTTAGATTTGCTTGCCACGTTCGTTTCATTTGTTAGATTTGCTTGCCACGTTCGTTTCATTTGTTAGATTTGCTCGCCACGTTCGTTTCATTCGTTGGATTTGCTTGCCACATTCGTTTCATTTGTTAGATTTGCTCACCACGTTCGTTTCATTTGTTAGATTTGCTTGCCATGTTCGTTTCATTTGTTAGATTTGCTTGCCACGTTCGTTTCATTTGTTAGATTTGCTTGCCACGTTCGTTTTATTTATTTGATTTGCTTACTACGTTCGCTTTACTACTATTATGATGCTTGTTCCATCGATCATGTATGCTTCTATTATTATGGTTAATCGTTATATCTATTCATTCGTCGTGTTTTTTGCATTCATTCAACGTTATGCTCGCTCATTCTATAGCTATTCTTACTCTATTTAGCCCCTTTTAGATTAGCTTAATGTTTTATTGGGCTGCATGGAGTTTTCTATACGATCTAGTTCCCTGATTTGTTTCGTAGCACACAACAGAGTACCACATGGAGCTTTGCTGCTGTAATTCGTTTTGACAGCATGTTAAAATAACAGAAGACCATGGTTGCATGTATCTTTCCGACCTAATAGCTATTTTAAGCTCAATAATATTAAATTAGATAGTGCTCCAATACATTCGCTGCTGTATCATGGTTAACAAAACCAACTTCATATTCGACTGATGCCAATACAGTAGCCACCATTCAAGGAGAACGTACATAACCAGAAAACTTCTTTATCGATCATAACAGATGGATCGACCATGCGACGAGTATTTACTGCATACAGTTTAATATGATTTCAGATAACATTTTTACATAACTACATACCTATTATATTTTTTTTGTTATACTATCTGCTATCCAATTTACTTTTGACGAAATCATCGATCTCTCCTATGCACAGTATGAGGCGCAACCACACGTATCGTCGTACAGACAATGCCCTTGTAAGCTTCTCATTAGTAGTACAAAGTGTTCGTTAGTGCTGTTTCTGATGTCGCATCGTCAGCTCGCAATATATTAAGGAACCTCGCATTCAAATCTTGCCGTGTTTTATGCAATTTCGATATAAAAATCCGGCAAATTTGATCATTCAAGCCCGTTAAATGTTTTACATTATCCATACGCTTATTTCTTTGTCGCTATATATCATCAACATAATCTTCGTCATTACCTACCATCAAGTAACCAGTAAACGTATCATGGAGCGCATATTGAACGACCCAACTATGCAGAGTATGATTGTAGCGCTACATATAATTTTGTTATTACTCTAATTAGCCAGGTGATATTAACTGTATTTATTAATAAGGATACCTAGAGCTCCGTGAGGAGTATATGTGGGACAACCCAGGTGTTCTCGATGATTGGGATGCCTGACGAAGGTTCGACTACACAGGCCGCCTACCAGAAAGGCATCAAGTGCCCCTAGGTACTCCACACCACCGTCGCAGGGTAATCTCTTTGGAAGAAAGGGGAACGATGATACATTTGTATCAGGCTGGGCATACAATAAAAAGCATAGCCGAATACATTAAAGTGTCCACAGCCATAGTGCATTGGACATGGCACAGACGGCACAGGTTCCTTTTGGAGCTTGAGCAGCAATATCAGCACCAACAACAACAAAATTTCCCAGAGCATGACAGCGATGCAGCTATTTCTGTTCAATTTCAAAACTTACATTTATCCAATCCACGTAATTTTAGTTTTTAATAAATCTGCACTTAATATCTGTGATGCCAAAACTTGTTTAATTCTTTTTTTTGCATGGAATAATGTGCTTACTATAATCGTAGACTTTGTGACGTAAAACCGTGGTATCAAGCTGTACAGTAGAGCACGGACACTCTATCAATATGTAAATCTCAATGATAGATGCGCTATATGAGCACAATATTCATGATGTATACGCAAACACGTTTCCAGAACATATATAAACGCAGTAGATTTTATTGATTTACTAAGACAATCTATCAACAGCATCCCATTCCATTAAACATGATCTCTACCACTTTCTACTACTACTACGAAGTCAGCAAAAACACCTATCTGCGCGAAACCAGTGCTACCACCTCGACCTCTGGTGACGATGCACAAAATATTACTATTGATATTGACTGCACCAATGGCAATGGCCAAAACACCATGGCTGTTGACGACATCTCACGCAGCGATAATAGCGACGACTACGATTTAACGTTCGAACCTATTGCACCGGCTGACCACGTGTGGACGTTGATCAAGTATACTCCTCATCAGGTGGCAAAGATGATCGGTTTGGTGGAGTATAAGAGGCTGTCTGTGCGAAAAGCAGCTGAATTGACCAACATCAGTAATTCACGCACCCATCAGTTGTACAAGCAACACAAAGAAGATAGCAGTGTGACTCCAGGTTATAACGCCAAGAACCAGATAAAGAGACCGCGCAAGATCGACCTCACCGACGAACAAAGGCAAATCGTGGATCTCTACGTCAAAAGCGTAGCTGACCAAAATGCGAACGTCGTAAAGGTCAAGGATGCGTAGGATGATCTGTGCCAGCAACTAGAAGGTGAGCTATTTATTACAACATGCAACATGACTTGAATACTCGTTTTATCATACTAATACTACAAATTTAAAAGGTTTAAAAATTAGTCAAAAAACTATTAAGGAGCGAATCCAGCAAACAGTTGCATTCACGCTTGTACTACCAGCAGTCCCTCCCTACACCGCCACCAGCGATATTCTGGAAAGTCGTAGCAAGTTTGCTGGTGAGCTGATGTCCCGTAGTCTAGACTACATCGAAGGCTGCATGTTCATCAGTGAAGGAGCGGTTGCCATGTCGGAGACCTTGGTCGTTGAAGCATACACAACAAGGTCTGAGGCCAAATCCTACGATTTGAACATCTTCTTGTGCCTCACTGCAGGGGGTGTTCTGGCCGTTTCCCAAGAGGCAATGGTGGCTGAAGCTCAAAGGAAGCAGCAACAGATGGAGAAGGTCGGCAAGGCAAAAGGCACTGCACCGGACCACTTAATCCAGTTTGCCAGTGAGGTTTTCAAAACCACCAATCAAGGCGAGTTTCGATGCAGTGTTGTCATGGCAAACAGACACTTGTTCCGGGAAAGGCCGTTTGTGAACGCGGTACGGAATGCAGGCCATTTCCCACTTTACATGCCCAACAATTCTACGTTCCTTGACCCGTGCCGTCCATGTTGGGAGGCCATCTAATCGCGCATACGACGAACGCCTTTGACGGATGAAGATAGCTTGGCAAGCCGTATTAAGGAAGCTGCGGAGACGATCACAGCTGCAGAATGTATTCGTTGGGTGAGCGAAGCCAAGTCATATATCGATCGCTGCTTAGCAAAAGAGCAAATCCAGTAGGAATGCTATTATGTTTTTTCTGTACCCATTACACTCCTTTTTTATGCCCTCCTTTTCCACTTCTTTCTTCATGTACGCTAGTCGTACCTATGTCAACTTATTTTTTTCCATTCCACTCTTTCACTATGCACCTGTCCTTCTACACTAGTTATACTTATGCCAAACTTTTTTTTCTCTGTGCAATAAATATTATATTCAAGTAAAAAATGATGCCCTTTGAAGAGTCTAGATACCTGTGGCAAAAATGCACTTGCTAGAATTTTCAGTCTTCACGCTTGAACTATGGCAGTACAGCTGGTATGGCCAGCAATGCGAGTTTACCTGTTGGACGAAAAAAAAAAAGAATGAGATGAAGGAAGGAATTGATCCACTGTAGATTCAGAAAGCCTTGTCACAAAATAGATTTTGAAACTCTAAAAATTGGCTGCGTACTAGTGGAACATGTCACGCTGTTTATTGAATGTCTTGTTGTTATGGATAGAAAAGCTCGATTGGTGTCGGGAAAGCAAGTGCGGTGCGCTGTTGAATGCCCTCCGTCGCCCACTGGGAAAAGGAAGTTAGCTGTGAGGCAAGACCTCTGTTTAATGAAATTTTGTCGTGATGAATATAAGATTGATTCATACTATGAAAATAAACCTGATGCGTTCTTAGACAGCATCCATCGCCCATGGAAAAAAAGGAAGTGAGCCATTAGACGCCCTTAATTTCTCACCAGGGAGAGTCTGTTTATCACAAATCATTTCTATTCTCCAACCAATCAAATACAGTATTTCGCACCAGTGTTCATCTCTATATTACACCCCCTAGAAATTTTATAGTTTCAAACGCAAAACGCTGTACGTCAAAAAGGGAGCAGGAAAAATCCAAAAAGGAAACAGTGTGTCACTGTCAAATCTTGCTACGACATAAGTCATATTTGTCGAGTTGCTTTTGTCGTTGTTTAGTAAAATGATATCACAGAGAATAGAGACGATCCACAAAGAATAACCACTGAGATAGAAGTACACTGAAATGACCACGAAGAGGGATAGGACCATAAAGATAACCACAAAGCACTGCACGAAAAATGAATTATCAAGTTCTTTAAAAACAGCTTGATAATTACCTAGCAAGGGGCCAGATTGAATAAAAAAACTGATATGTACCCTATGGCACCTCTAGCTGCCACATTCAGTAGTTCTGTGCAGAATTTTACAAAGCAACCTGGTATGTAATTGGGAAAAAAAATTTGATGCATGAATTCATATAGTAGATGTCACTGCATCCTTTGTGAAGGCTTTAGCTTCCTCAAGATAGTCCCCCTCAAAAAGATAGTCAGGTCACCGTAAGAATTTACCCGGTGTGACTGCTTTTATTCGAACAGTGACTGTTTTTCCTCGACTACCATATATAGAAAGGCAGGTGTGAAAGTGGTTAAGGCATCAGCTTTAGAAACAGGAGATCAAGGATTCCAATCCCTCAGCAGTCAATAGGGATCTGTATCAGAACTGTAGAACCGGAACCGAACCGAACCGAAACTGAGAAAATATAGTTCGGTTCCTATCAAGAACCGAACCGGTTCTATATAAGTAGAACCGAAGAACCGAGAGGCAGAAGATTGCATTTAGCGATTTTGGTAATTAGTATAGAGGACTAATCGGTTTATTACTATATAACTTGCTATCACCAAATTTTTAAGGGCAGATCTATTTGCACCCCCCCTCATGCACCCCCCCAGTCACTGCCTGGCCCGGATTTTAAGTTTGCAACCCCCCCTCCCACCGAACCATTTCGTACACCCCCCTTCATCGAACCAATTCTTGCACACCACTTCATCCACATTCCTCAATTACAGATCGAATTGAAGCAATTCAACACAAGATTGAAGAACGAAGCATTAGCATCGTATCAAGTAACATAAAATGAGTAGCTATAAACTAAATGTATGCATTTGCCTTTTTCAACGTAAGTTGTCAGAAAGGAGACACACACACGCACAATGAAATATAGCACCGGCAACTGCTACTTGCTTGTATAAAGAAAAGTGCCCTCGATGCATGGACAGAATATGCGAGTAATATGCTAATGATGGAACTGAAAAATAATGTAGAAAAGAAAGTGAGGCCAAGAGGATTATTAAACAAACAAAAGAAAATAAACTTTTTGATTTGACACGTTTTACATAATGCATATGAAACTGAGACTGCATTAATGCAAAATCCTTCAAATAGCAGTATATTTATCTACATAGTCTATAGACACATTGACCTCTACATTATCGTGTCGTTTGCATCATATTTGGTACTACATAGTACTCAGGAAGTGACAATGGAAATTGGAGCGTATCTTAAAAATTGCTTCTTTTACTTCCTATAAACAAACAAGCATACTTCTCTAAATCTCTCAACTCATTTCCATCGCAATGTCAAAAACTACAAGTGCAATTCCTGAAGAACTGCGAGTCACTTATGACGACTTTGACTCTGCCAAACAAGCTTGCGTCGACTGGGGGAAAAAGAGCAAGGTTTCCCTGTGTACCTTGAAAAGTACGCGTACAGGAGAAAAAAGAGTCCTCCGTCTTGTTTGCAAGCACTTTGGACAACCTACCAATCAAGAGGTATATGACGATGGCAAAACTACGACAGTAGAAACCATATTAGCGAACGACAAAGGTGATGTCATTCGATCCAACAGCAAGGACAGCAAGAAACGGCGCGAGAAAGACTCCCAGCGAATTGGATGCGAGTTTGAGATCAAGCTGCGGCCATTGAGCAAGGCTAGCCAGCAATGGCACGTTGTCTCTTTTTACGACGGTGAACACAATCATGAGATTGCAAAGGAGCTCTCGTCGTATCCAATGCTTCGTCAGCTCGATGGGAAGCAGCACGAAATTGTTCTTAGCATGATCAAAGGGCACGCTAGTAATACTGCAATTGTGTCATACCTTGCTGCTAACAAAACGGTTGTCAGCCCCAAGGACATCACGAATATGCGACAGATGGTATTCAACAACGATCCCGACCATACCATGTTCAAGCTTATCAGCAAGCTATAGGACAAGGACTACATCGTTGAGTGGGAATCGAAGCAAGATGGCGAAAAACGGTTCTTGCACTCTCTTTTTTTTGCGCATCATTCTACAATTTCACTTGCTCGCCAATTCCCTGAAACCATAATCATGGATGCCACGTACAAGACAAACAGACATCGGCTCCCCTTTGTAAATGTCGTCGGTACAGGCAATGTTGGTTATCCAGACTTGAAAACGTTCTGTATTACTGGCGGATGGGTGTCTGAAGAAACGAATGACAGCTACGACTGGTTTGTCAAAAAGCTTGAGCAAGTTGTCTGGCCAGCTGAGCAGCCAGTCTCCCTGAAAGTCTTTGTAACTGACAGCGAATCCGCGTTGATGAAAGCCTTGGATCACGTATTCCCCAACTTGAAGAAATTGCTCTGTACCAACTGCATCAGACGCAATTTTCAAGTCAAGCTGTAGAAACTTTTTGAAGTTAAAGAGGACTTTGAGGCGCTCCTGAAAGCCATCAACTACTTGATGGCTGATGAATATGATGATAAGTTCCAGAACAAGCGGCTGGTTCCAGATGAGGATTTCGAGCAAAAGGCGATCGGCATGTACAATGAGGCTGCAATGAAAGCCAAAAAGCCGAAAGAAGTGAAAGCATATCTCGAGAGGTAACTATATACTGGATTTTAAACGGAGATCGTTTGCTTGGACACTATACTTATGTGTAATACTTTCGCTTGCAGTAAGCTTTCTTATAAAGAAAAATGGGTCGGACGGTACCTCGCAGATGTCAAGCATCTTAGAAATAGCACCACCAACAGAGTTGAAGGAACGCATGCCAATATAAAGAAGGCCATACAGTCCGCCAGTGGTAACCTATACCTTGCTTTTGAGCAAATCGATGAATTCTACAGATTAAAGGTACAATACATTCGTATATTATATATATATATACATATATATATATATATGGTAGTTTGATATTTACCTACAATCCTATTCTACGCACATTAATTGCTAATCGTATTCGCTGTGTGTTGATTTGCCTGTGCAGAATCTAAGTTGGGATCGTCAATTGGATAGCGAACATTTCGGTGTAAACTCCCATATCCCGCCAAGTCAAAAGGAAAGGCTGGTAGATTTACAGCGCCACATATCGAAGTTCGCGTTCAATGCAATTCGCAAGGAGCTTGTATATCCAAATCCACTAAGAACCGACAACAGTCGATGTGCAATCAAAGCTCATTACGGAATTCCTTGCTGTCACATGATACCGTCTAAAGGAAAAATTCCTTTGAGCATTATCCCTAGACGCTGGCATCTCCATCCTAAAAAAACAGCTCCTGAAGGTATAGATAGTTTAACACCACTCTTACTCGCTATACTAAGCTGTAGTAACTTTATGTAGAGGAAGAAACACTCCACAGTAGCAGCAACACTCTAGCGATCTCGGAATCATATTCTGCTCCCACCATGGAGAGTCAAATCGAGGCTGAGCTCACGCGTATCACCACTATGTTGCATCGATTTCCTGACCAAAAGCAACGCTCAACTCTTCTACGTCATTTGCAAGCCATCAGCGATGAACTTTTTATAGACATCAAGCAACTGGAGCAGCCAAAATCTCTACCAACGAAAGGCAAACGTAAGCGCAGCTCAAAGCGCGATCTTATTGCTTTGGAACACCAACAGAACGAAAGCAACAAGAAAGCCAAAACAAACGCGGGTCGCGAAGCAGCCGACATTTGGTAAGTAACAGTATAATCATTGCTGTAATTGATCTTCTATTGTTATTAGATATACAGTACTGACCAGGTTTACTAAGGGAGGGCAAGCATAA